CCGTCCTCATCTGGTGAGAACGACAAACGAATCTCTTCATCATGTACTTTCACTCGAAATGAAGGTCCCCTAACAATGTTATCTCACGAGATTCATCAACACCAAGTTTCTCTTCGTATCTGCAAAAAATACGTCAGTAGTGCATTTTCTATTCGAACCAATGAAATGCATAAAAGGTTCGAATCCCCTGAGCCTAGCTTCCGCCACGCTGTCCACATTGAGCCCCAATTCGTACCATCGTGAAAGACATCGGTCGAAGAAGAAGCTGTCCTTTCCTACAAGTCAACAAGCCCCGAAGCCAGGAAGGTGTTGTCGTCAAGTTTCGCCAAGTGATGGCGTCCGGCACCAACGACATCTGCCATGAATAGACAGACGAGAGTCAAGCACGGTTGTTTCGGATTGACTGGACGGTGTGTAAAGAAGGATTTTGCCATAGTCACAACTACAAGGCGACAACTACCTCATCTTCTAGTTGCCGGGGCCGACCAAATCAAATTGGTCTTCGAATCCGATCACGATTTTGTGACTTCATTTGGTCGTAACTTCCAATTTTCAGGGTCCACTTGTAATGTTGGAACCTCTGCCGTGAAGACTACCCCTCCGCGTCCCTGCAAGAGCTTGACGTCTCAGCATGCCTCGGTCAGACAACAACGAATACCGGCCATAGCGACGGAGGAGGCCCCCAGTTGACAACCGTCTGTCCACGGCCCCAGTGACCTTGGCCCGAAAAGGCCTCACGCAACCGCTCGTGTTTCACTCTTGCTTCCTCCCTCCTCACGACCTCGGGGCACGCTTCACTCATCTTCTCGTGCATTCTTGTGCTTGCTGGCTGGCTGGCTGACTGGTTGGCTGAGTGGGTGGTTGGCTTGCCAATTTTCGTTTTTGACGTACCTTATTTCCGTCCTTGCTTCAACCGCCACGCGACCAGGAAGCAAGCTCAACTGGGCTCATATGCTAATCGAAAGAACCAGCGCAGTGTTGTATGAGGAGATGTCGATTTATGCCGTCAAACGGAGTTCAGTTGTGCAGCTAAACACCGACGCCATCGGAAGTGTGCACAGCGCAGCCTCAAAAAAAGCATTCATTGTCGGTAGATACTGCGATACAGACCTCATGTCTACAGTCGATTGTATGGAAGCGAGACAGAAAGAAGGCCCGATATTCCGTCTCCAGGCGCATGCTAGAGCTGGTCAGGACAGAAGTTGTTGCTGTGAGGTCAAACAACTATTGGTCCCGGGCATACATTAAATCCCAACCAGATCGGCACGAGTGGACATCAGTCGTCCATACACACACTCCTGCATACAAATGCATACATACACACACATATATACATACATACATACATACATACATACATACATACATACATACATACATACATACATACATACATAAATACATACATACATACATACATACATCATACATACATACATACATACATACATACATACATACATACATACATACATACATACATACATACAAACACACAATGTATGCATTTACGAAGAACGACATTCTCGCTTCCTCTGTCCTTCGCCTGATCAGGTTGTCTGATGATTCGTTTAATGAAACAGATCATTTGCTTGATTTGCATTGCCTCCACGAACCGGATCACTCGTAGAGAGTCCGAGTCAAAGCAACAGTGTGCATGTGGTTTGAACAAAATCTTGGGTTGGGGTGTATAAATGAGCATAAACCACCAGAGCTGGAAGGGCAGTGGAGACGAGGGTAGGCTTGGTTTCATGTCGAGGGTCTTTAGAGCCGCTATCATCTGGAAGCTGTAGTAGACCATCGGCTCATTTTCTCTTCAACCGTTGTGGTCTGCGTCGTCTCCATTTTTGTACCGACTTCTGATGCTGTATCCATCGTTTAATTGTAAAAAATGGCTAGTCAGTTGTGTCAGATCTGAATTGTGAGTAGTGGAAGAGCTGAAATCGAGCGAAAAATGATGAATTCTGTATGTGAGGCTGAGGGATTTGACGATGAAAAGAACGCATTGCATATTTAAGGGAATTAGTTTTTCGAAAGCATCACTAAATATTGAATATGAGTTTCAGTCATCCTGGCTTTCATTAAGTGTTAGGGAGACTTTCAGTTGGCATGACAGTGAAAGAAGAAGAGATTCGTTGTTCGATCTCATCAGATGAGGACAGATAAATCTCGTTATGCTGTAACCGTTTGGCTTTTATACGATGTTCATGTTGATGCAGTCCACGAGACTTCCTCCCTCGTTTCGGGTGAATACGTGTTGAGCTTTCCTCCATCATTCGAGGGACATCATCAGAGCTGGGTTTCATTCTTGTAAGAGTCTCATTTTAACACTAGGCCAAGAACACTATCCGACTCTATCTTACTTCTTATATAGACTCACTTGAGCCAGAAGGAAATTAAAAACCTAGACAGAATGGTTTGGTTAATTATTTTTCATACTGGTCCTGTTACTTTTGCTCGAGTGTATGCGTATGTGTATGTGTGCGTGTTAGCGTCTATATGGAATACGCTTCCTAAATCAGAGTTGCCAAAGATTTAATCTCAGCTTCTGATCCTCAAGACCTAATGATCCAAGAAAAAGACTTAACTGAGACTGCGTAGGTCCGTAAACAAGTATGGTTGAGATGATGAGATATAAGCTTGTAAGAATGAACATCATTAGGCCTTGAGGATCAGAACCGGAGATTAAACTTTTGACAACTATGATTTAGGAACCGTATTGCATATAGACGCTAACACGCACGCATACGCATGCGCATACACTCGAGCAAAAAGAACGGGACCAGTATGAAGGA